TGAGAGTAGATTTGGCAGAGCGAAGTCATATATGTTGAAGGTGTCCCAGGTTCTATGATTTGGGAGCTGAGAGAAGTCCTAGAGGTCTGCAATGCTGTGAGGACATGTGGAAGGCGGGAAGGTAAGTCCTGTGAGAATACCCTTCTATGGAGAGATAAAGAACTGGTTGGAATTTGAGGAGGTACAGGAAAGGGTTTCTTGAAAGGCAGAGAAATATCTTGCTGGTGGCTTGGAGCTCAGATTCAAAAAGGGGTCACTGAGCTTTAGAAGGGTTTCTTCTAGGAGTTGTGGTACACAGCCCCCATGAATGTCTATCATCTCCATTACAGCTAAAATATTGGAAATTGAGCAGTGCTGGATACAGCCTTCGCTAGAGTTTTGTGACAAAAAGTGCTCTAAATACAATTTCTGTGCATATTATAACCACACATGCTGCTGGACCTACTGTGGAAACATCTGCTTGCACGATGGGTATGTTGTTTGGGGTGGGTGTGAGGAGTGGCCCAGGTGTGCTTCACTGTTTCCCACTGTTATGCAGAAGCTGTGGTATAGTGCCTAAGGCATTTGACTGCTAACCAGAAGGCTGGTGGTTCAAATCCACCACTCCTCAGAAGGAAGATTGGGCAATCTACTTCCATAGAGATACCACCTTGGAAACCCAAGGAGGGGTCTCTATGAGTTGGAATCAACTTGACAGCAGTTTGGTTTTGAGTTTTGTGATCCCAAACAAAAGACTTAACTCACCCATATCCTGATCAAAGAAACAGGTAGCAAATAGAGGCTGCCTCTCATTCAGAATAAAGCAAGGCACTGCTAAAGAGGTCTTTGCTCTTCTGCATTCCCATTCAATTTCTTCTCAGTCCCTCATTACAGCACCCATTAGTTGGTTCATTCCTCTTTTGTCCAAAGTGCCAGCTACTGTCTCCTTAGATGGGGCTCTTCACTGGCCCCTTAGTCTCAGTTAGGCCCAAGGAGACCTGGTCTCCACCTGTCTTTTCAGTCGACAAATATCTTGGGAGAAATGGCTCCAAAGTTTGTAACTGGTGATGTTATAGAATGAATCTGTTCTCATGATCTGGAACATAGTGTACCCTGTCTATTAGTGATTTGTGTGCTGCTATGATGGTGAACATGCAACACAAAACAGTGGAGTTTCCAGACTAAGACAGGCTAGGAAGAAAGGCCTGGAGATCAACTGCTGAAACGTAGCCAATGAAAACACCATAGAGCACACCCATTAGATCTGCAATTGATCACAGGGATAGCGTACAACCTGGCAGAGTTTCACTCTGTTGTGTATGGGATTGTCAGGAGTTAGAGATCAACTCCACAGCATCCAAAAACAAAAACAACTAGGTGTTATTAAGCTTGGAAATGGGTGTCCCCAGGGTTCTCTGACTTTCAACCCCCTAACTTTTCTTTTCCAGAGAACCTTTTAAAACAATACTAAAATCCTAGGTTCTAGCTGACCACCACCTGAGTGAGCTGTAGGATGACTATCTGGTCCAAGAAGAGTACCTCCCAGTTTCCTGTTGGCATATCCACTAGCCCTGGCTTAGGTCCTCTCTGCTCTCTCCTGGACTTCTCTACTCTGAGAAGGCTCAAATATTTGTCAAATAAACTGATACACCAACCTGTGGGCTCTGCATTTTCTTGACTTGGTCCCTGTGGCTTCATTTCCCTCATTACAGTTCCCACCAGACCCAACAGTTGTACTCATCCCATCATGTATGCAGGCACTCAGCTCCACCTTCCCATCAGATCTATGTAGGAGCCTATGTAGGGGCCAGAATGGCTCCCAGCTGCAAAAAAAAAAAAAAAAAACAGTAAAAATTTATTCCTGTTCACAAAACATTTCAGTGAGGATGCTCGGTGACCAGCTGTCTGTGCCATGATTGAAGGACAATGACTCTTTCTATCTATCCCCCTCCTAGGACCTCAGACTCTTCTGCTGGACCTTCTACAACCAACCAGCAAATGGGGGAGGAAGAGGTAGTATGGAGGTTTGTACAGAAGATTTTGAAGGGCTAGGCTTAGAAGTAGAGTTCATCATTTCTACCCACAATTCCTTGGCCGTATTGCAGTCATTTGATTCCCTCCTGTTTGCAAAGAAGCCTGGGAAATGTTGTCTGAGGAATGTGTAGACTCAGCAATATGACACAGCTTGATTAAGGAAGGACAAAGGGACTAGGTGATAATAGAACACATACTTAGAGCCTTAGAGCTCAGAGTAAGGAACAGGGAGGCCAGAGGTTCATGTCATCATCCTTCAGGAGTGGGGCTTTATCTAGGCTTTAAGGGATATGGAGGACTTGAAGCTTGTATTAGCTTCCCATGGCTGTTGAAATAAATTACCGCTAACTTGGTGGCTTTAAAATTTTTTTAATCCTGTCACAGTTTTAGAGGCCAGAACTGCAAAACCACGGTGTCGGCAGAGCCATGCTCACTTTGAAGGCACTAAGAAACCTCCCTTTGCTTCTTTCAACTTCTCAGCATTCTTTGGCTTATCTGCTCATTACTCCACTCTCTGTGTCTGTCTTCACATGGCCTTTTCCTCTGTGTCTCTTTGTCCAAATCCCTCTTTCTCTTTCTTATAAAGACACCAGCCATTGGATTTATGGCCAACCTTAAATCCAAGAGGAAGCTCTGGTAGCATAGTGGCTAAGGCACTTGACTGCTAACCAGAAGGCTGGCGGTTCAAACCCACCAGCCACTCCAAGGAAAGAAGATGGGGCAATCTACTTCAGTAGTGATACTGCCTCAGAAACCCAAGGAGGGGTCGCTATGAGTCGGTTCCCACTCGCCAGCACATAACAACAACAACAACAACAAATCTAAGAGGATCCTTGACTAATTACATTGCAAAGGCCCCCTTTCCAAATAAGGTAACATTCTGAGGTTCAGGGTCAACATGAATTTTTGGAAGTCATTATCCAACTTATACAGAACTCTTTATAGTGAAGATGGTTATTTTTACTTAAAGAAAAAATGCAAAGGACAGTAAAAGGTTACTCAACTCTAAAGAAAGGTACAGGGAAGGGCTGGGTTGTTCTCTTGGGTGTCCTGTTAAGAGGCTGTACTCCTTTCACACCTTCATCTGTCAAGCTTGGGTTAGGGGAGATATAAGGCAGGAAGATTTGCCTTGCCCATGTTAGCAAAAGAGTAATTGACATAGAGATGTGGAAGGACACCCAAGGGGCCAGTGAAACGTGGAAGTATAGTTAGTACTGTCCTTCCATCAGCTACATAGTCATGTACCCATGGATTATGAATGTTATAGACTGAGAGACATTCTAAGTTTTCAGTCATACCACTCACTGAAGAAGATAGAAAGCTCAGACTACCCTCCCCCTGTCATGAGGGTTCATGTCAGTAGACTTCCAGTAGAGCTGTGGAAAAACTATCAGCATCTTTGTTATTAAGACCTGAAGAAGTAGCAAATGCTGAAACCGTCATGTCAGCATGACTCATCACTTTTGCCCAGTGGCAGTAAGCATGTATGACAATGAGTTATGGCAGTAGACACCCTTGGCATCTCATTCAATTTCCCTTTCTGGCCTTGTTCACTCATGTCTCAGCTCCTGCAAGTACTGTGTCTAGCAGTGTCCACCTGTAATTTGCTCCAGAGCATTGCCCTTGGTGGGTAAGAGTCACCTCAGCTGGACAGGCCAGTCTCTGGGACAATGGATGACTAATACAAGGATACAGAGTCTGGCCCCTCCACCTCAA